ATGACAGTAACCTGAGCACTTGACTTTTCTGCACACTGCTGCTCTCCCCTGGGTTTGCATAATGTGGAAATATTTTGCTGTTCCATAGGGTTCAGAGCAGGGCGATGCTGAGGTCCTTCCGTGCGAGTGCCTGCACAGCACGGGTCATTAGGTGTCACCAGCTGCCCAAACACCGAGTGCGAAGGCTCCAGGTAGACTAGCTCTGTGTGCCAGAGGCAAAGAACAGAGGAGGAACATGATGTATGGCTCCTCAAACAGCAATGAAATAATTGGGTGATATTAATACCAGTCGCTTCCACTTTCTAAAACTTGCCTCTAGTAACCTGCAGAGAAGTGCTTATTGTCTCCAGAGCAGGGACAGGCCAGGGAAGGTCTTAAGGTCCAACACTTACTTGATTTTTCTGCATACTGTTACTTTTTTCCCCATTAACAGCTGTCCTTCACATGGCCATAGAGGCTGTTCTTCTCAGGAGAAAGGATATATGTGAATATATATTTTTAATACCAGCAGTTGAAAATTCAGAGGGATTAAGATATATTTTGGATGAGACTGCCCTTTGACCGTGCTCTTGCGCTCCCCTCGAGCTTGGGCCGCTGAAATCCTCCTGCTCAAGCTGCGTCCCTGGCCGTGCCCTGGTGTCCTGGTGCCGCGGAGGTTCCCGCCGGGACCTCACCAGCACATCCAGCTTGGTTGCTCTCCATGAACCTCCCATGGTTAATGCTGAAGGATTTGGCCAAGCAAAGCTCAGGTTTGGATGCCCTTGTCGAGCAGAGACATTCCTGGTTTCTTCTCTGCTTTTTGATTATGATCCCATAGTCCAGATCGTTACCTCTGCAATGAAAACTTTTGCATTTCTAGACTGTTATGTAACTCCACAGTAATTTTCACTAGTTGATAGATGATCCAAAGAAGCTGCAGTATGGTTTTCTTTTGTTCCATAAGAATATGTGGTCATGGACACTGTTTAGAGCCATTAGTGTATAATGAACTGCTGCATGAATCGGTGCCCTTTTTGTCTTCCAGATGCCAGCATGTACGCACATTATCTCTTCAACGCCTTTGACACTGCACAAAATGGCTCTGTGAAGTTTGAGGTAATTTTTTACCTAATTTCCTATTTTGATACCTTTTCCTCTGCTAGAAAAGCAGCAAAATGCTTAGATAAGTATTAAAGAAGAATAATGCTGAGCCTTCCTTCCTGGCAAACCTGTCTCTTTAGCACTTGTCAAACATATGCATTTTGTCCTCTTTTGTTTTGCTCAGCAAATTCCAATTCCACTGAGCCTTGGGAAAGGGGAGCAAAGGTTTTGAGGATGTGGAGGTAGCACAGGAAGGCCTGGGGACACGAAATGGGGTGCTGGGAGCAGGGCAGCCCTGCTAGCGGGAAGCTCTGCCGCTAACAAATCCCCGCAGTGATGCTGCTGTCAGCACCTGAGCCATTAGGCAGTGCAAACAATAAATCAAAGTTATTGGAAGCAATAACTTTATTGTAAACAGAAGACAATTAAAAAGCTGTGTCCCAGCTGGGGTGATTAGTGGCAAGGATTATATCTGACAAATGGTTTGCCCGAGGAGGGAGGCTGAGCCTCGCTGCATTAGACTGTAGCATGGCAGGAGGAGCCTGGGCTCTCCCGGTCCCTCTCAGAGCAGCCATGGAGACTTTCGTGGTCCTGATCTGCCTGATTAGGGTGTTTTGGGAACACCCTGGGGTGCTATGGCCCCACATTGGTTTTTGAGTGCAAGAGCATTGGTTGGGTTTGCTCTCTCTGGGCATGCAGGAGGGGAGTTTGGCTTCCTTCTGAGGTGCAGATCACTAGAGTGACCAGTTTCTTGCTGGAACAAGAATCAACCTGGTTAAAGGATAAGTCCGCACTTGCTCTTCTTGGAGAGGATTGTGGGGAGCCAGTGGAGCAGCCTCTTCCCCCAGCCTGCCAACGAGGGGACTTCATGACCCTGACACCCACGAGGTCCTCCTGGACATTCCCATGCAGGTCCCCAACCGCTATCATCAGCTCAACCTTTGGCATCCATCTGCAGTCAAATTTAAAAAAAAAGGATTTTTGTGATTTATTCTTCGCTACCTCATCCCCATTTGGCAGCGACATGCAGCTCAGGTTAGGGTAATGTTGTGCTATGGCCTTGGAGCCCCTTGACAGACGGGGCGGCTTAGGAAAGAGGGGCAGAGGCCAGTATCTGCATGTTGTATCCTAAAAAGAAAGGTCTTTTGAGAGGTTTATGAAGACAGTGACTTGGAAAATTATGGTATTAAAATTCACATCTCTGCTTTGAACCAGGATTTTGTGATGGCCTTGTCAATTCTGTTGCGAGGAACGGTCCACGAAAAGCTGCGATGGACATTTAACCTCTACGACCTAAACAAGGATGGCTATATAAACAAGGAGGTAAGGCTGTCTCTGGCACACGTCCAGGTGGTTCTGGAGAGGGCTGGTTTCAGTTGTGGAGCACCATTAATTTTACAGGCTGCTAATTAAATGAAAATCAGAGTGTATTTGAGCATTTCTCTGTGTCTTAGGGCATGGTGATCTGGTATTGCCTGTTTGTGTAGCCATATTTTGCTGTCTTACGCTGCCGTTAATGGATTGCTTTAGCCAGGAACAACATTCTGGTTATAGCTATTCACAAAAACAACCTTTGCAAAGGGGAGAGTAGCAGGGACATCGGGTCCTCGGTGGCCAAGGGGCAGGATCCTGCTGATGTCTGTGTGCAGGATCACCCGGGGAGCTCGGGTGCATCCAGCAGTGTTGGGATGATGGTGTGGGCTTCCTCAGGCCACAGCACTGCTCATGGCTCAACATTGTCACTTAGTGTTCTGTTATTATCCAGTTTTCTTGATTTCTCTGTTGGTTTTGAGCATGGTAACATGACCACTTCCAAATTTTGGCATGAAGGCTCACATGGGAGGCAACCAGCCACATGTAGGACACGCTCTATCCTTTTGAAGCTCCTGTGGGCGTCTGCTCTGCTTGTGGGTCCACTACTAGCCCCTGAGCCACCCAGTAGCTTGTGCAAGGCACCAAGAGGGGCCTGGGTGGTCTCTGCTGTCAGGTCATGGCAGAGGGAAGAAGGTGCTCCTGGTTTTCCAGACGAACCGTAGCTGGTGAACAGCTGTCTGCATGCGCCTGTCTAGGCTTTCTTTGGGGGTGACAGCAGGTACGAGCCAAAAGTCTGTACCACTTTGTAATAGAAAACGAGTGGAAGAAAAAGGGCAATAAAACAAATATGTGATTGTTTTTATCAACTTAGCTGTGGTGTTTTTGATGCTATGTCACTATTGCAGGAAATGATGGATATAGTAAAAGCAATTTATGATATGATGGGAAAATACACATATCCAGTGCTCAAGGAAGATGCTCCGAGGCAGCACGTAGAAGTATTCTTCCAGGTATGTATTTGATTTCTGTTGCATTTCTCTTAGTGTTTGAGCTATGCTCTGATACACTTTACTGTTAGGTTAGTCCCAAGGTTATTGCTGCTATCCACCACACATCCCAAAAACGAACCCTGGCAGCCATGAGTCAAACACTGTGGTCCTCATGGAGCTCCTGGCTCCAAGCTACCTGCCTGGCTCGTGGCCCAACACCTCCTCCATGTCCAACAAGTCTAGGGATGCTCCATCTCCCAGCCCCTGGGTACTTCTCCTTGCAACTGCCCATAAAAATAAGCAGAGTATGGGTTAGTGAGATGCTGAAGAAATAAATGGTGCAAGATGGGCACAGGTTGCTCTGTTCATCAGGGGAGGAATAGCAGAGAAGACTTTAAAAGCGCCCCAAATTTCAGAGTAACCAAGTCCTTAGGTGCCAGCTGATTTAATCACTGATACTCTGTCTGCAATCTAAGCTTATAAAGTGCTCTAGAAGTATTTGGATATGATGCTATACTGCAGGGTTACATGTGGAAACTGAAACTGTTTGTTTTTATTTTGCAGAAAATGGATAAAAACAAAGATGGTGTTGTAACTTTAGATGAGTTTATTGAATCGTGTCAGGAGGTAAGGCCAAGATGCTGACTGCGGTGGAAGGACTAGCTCATGCCACACAGTGCTTGCATTCCCTTGGGATGCGCTCTGCAACGAGCTGCTGCTCTGCACCTCGGCTTTCCTCTGCACTAGGAAGGCCCTTTTGGTGCCCAGTGCTTTTATTTGCAAGTATATAACTCTCAGAAGTTAATAAAGCCCTTCCTCATTCTTTTTTCTTTTCTAAGATGCTGACAGTGTCTCTCTGACCTGTCCCTGGCTGTTATTAACAAGTAGGACACTGCTGCAACAGTCTGTTTAGGACATCTGCAGTTACAGCAGACTTTCAAAACCTACTTGTGGTTTCAAGGTCAAATATTAAAATCAATACTGTAATCATAGCAATGATAATTTTTGGTTTTGACAATGAACTCTCTCTTGCAAGTTCCATGTATTAAATTGGTTGCAAGAAATATTTGCTGGTATTTTTAGCACTGGCACAAAACAAGCATCTGCATGAATATGCAATCAGCTCCACGTCCAGTCTCTGGGACTGTAATTAACTGTGTGACTGGTCAGAAGTGCAAATAATTATGTACCAGCCACTCGGTGCTTTTCGCTTCCCCAGGGAAATCTGTCCCGTTCTGCCATTAAACACTCACCCTGGAGGGGCTGGGCTGCCATCCCACCCCTTGTGCAAAAAATCTTCATCTGCTAACATGTAAGCCTTTCTCAGATGGGGATTTTGGGGGAAAAATGCCTTGGGAGCAGATCCATAATGGAAGGCTAATTTATTTCAGCTGCAGCATTTTTGATATTTCCTGATTGTTGGTTTATTTTTGATCTCTTCTTTGATATGTCTCCAGGTTGTGTTTCATTTTTCACATTCATAATTTGCTCCGAGCGGGATGTGTGTGATAAGTGCTGTGAATAGCGGTGCCAGGATCGATGCAGCTTCACTTGCCTTGGAAAAGTTGGAGTTTCTTTAATGCTCTGGCCTGGTTTTGGTTCAGTTGGTTGCAGCTGACATAACCTGGGCAGGTTGATAGGCCGTAACGTGGGCTTTCCTTGCAGACAGGAGCCCAGCAGCACTAAGACAGGCTTTTTTTGCCTGTGCCCAACAAACAAATGTGCATTATCACATGTACCTTTGCCTGTTTTGAGGCTGCAGATCGCAGACAGTGAGCTCCTGGCACTGCTTTGGAGGGTGGTTGGTTTCCCATACGAGGTGCTGCCTGGTTCTAGTACCTGCAAAACGAAGTCAGAGGAGAGGTGGAGGGATGTTGCCTTTCCTGGCAGGTGTAAGGATTACCAACGCTTTCAACACCTCTAAAGAAGATAAGGGAAGAAGATTCTGTAGATATCTATGTTTTATTACAGCTCAACAGTTATTCTGACTTTTGGAATAACTGAGCTCCTGTGGGGAAAAAAAATCATCTCATCTTTTTTGAATATTGCTCTGGTGATTAAGTGATTTGAAACATTACTTTGAGGTAATCAGAAGCATTCTGGTATTTCCCCTGTGTGTCTCCAACTTTCTCGTGTGGAGCAAAGAACCTCAGAGAGGTTGGGATTTCATACGTTTGAATTTTGAGCTGGTTGCATTTCTGGGACCAAGTGGGCTTGGTCACGGCTGGCTTTGTGCCGATCCGTGTCTTCTCCTTGCTCGCAGGACGACAACATCATGCGATCCTTACAGCTCTTCGAGAACGTCATGTAAGCAGGCACCGCGGGAGAGCGCTGCGGGAGTCAGAGACGTTGTGGGTAACGAAGACCTCCTTTCCTGGTGAAAGCTTTTTACAGTTCAGCCATGTCCAGCGTGTGAGGATTTTGTATGACATCTCCAGTCAAACGGCGACCGAACGCAACCACCCCTTCTCTCCCTCTCAGAGACGCTGGGGGAACTTTATTTCATTTTGGAAGCATGTGAATATTTTAATGAAACCTGATGAGAAAGAGCTGCTGCTCGGAGTTTAATGAGTAATATACAGTTCTGTTTGCTAGGCACAAGTCCTGCTTTTAATCTAGCAAGCTTGATTAGATACGATAGCACATGTCGATAGCTTACCTGGTCATCTGCTATGAGTGAAAAGCTCCATCCACAGCACCGTGCAGCAGAATGCTTTAGGAATGCCTTGCCATGATTTTGCTTTGACAAAAGTCTATCTGCTGGGGCGAGCTGTGAGGTTGCAGAAGCGAATGCTGAATGTAGCGAGTGTGGTACTGCCCGCGTAGCCAATATCCCCCTTTCCGCAGAGGTCCTGCTCTTCCTCTGACCTGCGCCGGTGCCACCACCCTGAGCTGGTGGAGTTACCCCTGTACACGTTAACTAGGGGAGGTTCAAGCACACGTGAGCCAGAAAGGAGCGCAGAGTAAGTGCTGAGCATGCGAAGTGCAGAGCGAATCCCGATGAGCGGCCATGAGTGCTTGGGAGCCCCGGCAGGTTGACGAGGGCTGGCTCACCGGGGTGCGTACGGGGTATTCCCAGCCACTGACCGTATTCCCAGCATGTAGCAGGACGCCAGGGGTTCTCCAGGGAACAGGGTGCCTCTCTCAGCAGCTCTGTGGCCACAGGCCATAGTCCTTTCCTAGTGGCCGGGCACCCAGCGCATGGATGCAGGGTGTAGATGTTGGCGTTTTTCCGGTGGATGTTAAGGCCAGGCATTTCCCACGTCAGGAGTTGGTTTCAGCTTTCGGTTTTGCGTAGCTGCCCAGGGCCCAGCTCAGCTCTGTTTCCCCGTGCACACCTCGGACCCTGCAGTGTCCTGCACACCCACCTGCTGTTTGCTTGGTGCCATCAGCCTCGGAGCTGCCAAGCCTCCGTGTCCCTAGGCGTAGCCCAGCGTCTCCTACCCCAAGATCCTTCCCTCGCAAGGCAGTTTCTTGGGACATCCTCGTACTGTTCCCATTTCTGTACTATGCCAGGCAGAGCTTTGGCTTGGCCAGTTGGCTTTGTTAAGTAGTAAGACAATCTGGATTTTTGCGCAGTAATAGCGAGCGAGGGGACTTCAGGAAAGTTCCTGTCACTGTTGTAACCTCCTGGCAGCTGATGGCCAAGAAAGCAAGGAAAGGAGAGAGCAACCAGCTTTGGCAGCTGCTTGAACCACACGCAACGCGTAGTCCCCTGCTGCAGATCATTGCCATCCAGTGCGCTTATATTTTTATTGTATCAGATACTATATTACAAATATACTGTTGGCACTGAAAATATATTTTAAATATTATGTAAGCGGAAGCTTTTTATAACGCAAAATATATAAATGCCTAATTTCTGTAGCCCTATATTTTATAAAAAAAAAAAAAAATCTATTCAGATATTCCTGATTATAGAAATAGATCCGATCAGTAGCAGTGCAATGCTGTGCTTACGCCTCGAGGCAGGAAGCTTCCCCCTCTCCTGTCCTGCCGCACTCCTGCAGGTCAGCTTTGTGCCCTGAGGTGCCCGTTTGTCAACCACAGTGCTGCTCAAGGGAGGGAAGTTACATGTGGGCAGGAACAATACCGTAGTCTGTTCTGTTTATTAGCTCTACAAATGCTGTCAATTAATTGCTTCCTAGCAATAATACGGAGCGTAGCAGCTCCTTGGTCTGCTGTGACTCGCGAAAGCAGCGGGATGCTGTGAGAGTAGCCTTGTCCTCTAGTGGTTCCCACTGTTGTCCATTTAATTTTTATTTCCTGGCGCTCGATAAAGGCGGTGCCAATTAGTGCTGGAATCGTGCAGAATGTTTATCCCCTTCCTACGGAATTGTGCCCGCTTTAGCAAATGGCAGTTATAAAAATCCTGCGTAGCTTGTTTTATTTATTTTTTTTTTTTTTCCCCCACACTGCAAGAGCATCTGGCTGGTTTCGGGCTGAGCATTTAACTTCAGCTGAGGGATACGTGGTGGCAGGACAGTGGGGAGCCGCTGTTTTCCCCGAGCTGGCAGGTGCCTTTCTCCTCCAGCAGCTGCCCCCGATGTGCTCTTGAGGTGGCTGCTGCAGAGCTCTCTCGCCTTGAGGCATCTCCACTCTCGGCTACGTTATTCCCTGAAGCCAGATTAGATTCTACAGCAGCTTGGGTGCATCTGGCTCCGCTGTGCTTGTGTCTTGCCCTCGGACGGGGCCGCAGGTGCAGGTGGCTGCTCCCTGGGGTGTGGGTGACACACGGCAGACGCCGGAACGTTGCTCAGGGTGTGCTGAAGCGCAGGGCTGAGCTGGGGCTGCCCTGAGCGACCCTGCAGTTTTAGCATCTCCCTTGCAGCTCCCCATATGCGGTGGCTCTCAGCTCCCGGTGGTGGCCAGACGCGTGCGATGGGGATGGAGGAGACACTGACAGGTCCCAGTTCTGCCCCAGGGGAGCCAGAGCTGTAACCGACCTCGGTGTCAGTGTGGCAGGAGCGCAGGCCCCTCCGAGGGAGCTGCTGGAGCCCCGGGGCAAACCCTGGCCGCTGCCGTTCCCTCTGCCCTCCACATCCATCCCCACTCCGTCCGGGAGGTGGCTCCTGGGCACTCGGACTCTGCCCGGGCTATCAACTGTGCCAACTTCTCAAGTTGTGACTGTTCAAATTAATGTCTGAGTTATTGGTCCGTCTCATTAGTTGCAAACATTCTGCATATTCATGCCAGCGGTTTCTTTAACGAAAGAAATAAAAACATATCTAACATGCATTTTGGGAACTGATCTGTTGGACAATAGGCATGTGGCTTATGATAATGCAAAAAAAACCCCAATTGTAGCGTGGCTGTTGCTGTTGGTTTTCCTGTTCCTTTAGAAGCATCGCAGCGTTGTGAGGAATCCTCACGCTGTAGGCCGGGTGGGATGGGTAGCGTGGGGCTCAGCACGGTGACCTTGCTGGATGGTGGCATCTATGGAGCCAAGTGTTGCTGCTTCCCTGCTGCGTCTCCTCCTTCCTGGAAGAGCCATGCAAACCTCGAGGACCCATGTGCTGATATTCCAGCTTGTGGTAGCTAAAGCGGAGCAGCAGAGCACAGCTTCGCTCTCACAAATGCGATTAGCCAGCGGTGGCTTGTGTTAAATTTTGTTAGATGGTTTAAAAAATGTCGGGTTTCATAGTAAAAAGCAAAAATGTGAAGGGGGGTGTTTTTTGTAAGCCCCTGCGTGCAGGGGGTTTGGACTAGATGACCTCTAGAGGTCCCTTCCAACCTTAAGCAATCTATGATATATACATATATATATATATATATATCCCCTCAAGGGACACTGTCAGGTTAAAAATTTACAGCAAGATTTTGAAGACCAGGGTTCTGCTAAAAACATCCATTTATCGCAGAGGTTGTTAAACCAATAAGCCGTGCTGGGAGCATCGTGTTTTGCTTGCATTGCTGATGCAGGGATGCTCTTGGGTTTGGTGCAGTGACCGACCTAACTGCTAGTGTGCATAGAGCTCAGAAGTGTGCCACGTGCATCGCTGGCAATGTGTCGGAATAGTGAAAACTGTAGTTTTATGGGCAGTTTCTTCCTCTTCAGCATTTTTGCTGGTTTTGTTCAAGTGCGTCCGCGAGAACAGCCGTAGAAAAGTTGTGGAAATGCAGATTGGGCTGTAGAAAAATGCCAGCGCTGTTCTGCTTTCAAGGAAAGAAAAACCTGCCAGTGTCCCTTTACCTCTGGTCTGTTGAGAACATTCCTTCTGACTTGTGGAGAAATCAGAAACAATTTTGTGAGACTATATATGTGTGTATATATAGATATGTGTGTGTGCGTATATATAGAGATATATATAATTTGCTAAGCTGCATTCTGCAGGATCTATCCCCCGGCACAGCCCAGGGAGAAGAGGCCGTGGTCGCCTGCATGGGACGAAGCAGGGACGGCGCCGTGGAGCCGCGTGGGTACCGCTTGATTTGTGTTTTGGCACCGGCGCCGCTCCGAGGTTGTCTGCAGCGCTGGCTGCGCCTTCGGGGTGTCGGAGCCCCCGGATTTTGCTCCTGGATGGGTGGGGGTGCGGGCTGAACACCTATGGACCATGGGGAACATGCATGGAGTGCCCTTGTCCTGGGCAGTCCTAACTCTGCCATCCTGCTCTTCCCTACAGGCCCAGGGAGCTCAGAGCCACCAGCCACCGCTTGGGCTGGAAGACACACCTGGGACAGGGATGCGCAGGGAGCGCACGGCTCGTCACCCGCTCCGGCGAGGGATGGCAGGTCCCAAGCTCTGCTCCGCTGCCCGGCTCGGTCCCTAAAAACTGCTCGGCTGCCCTAAAAACCCTGGTTGGGTGTGGGAGAACAACAGCACTGCGGCACAGACACGGGCTGGCGCGCGCGGGGGGGCGCGGG